GAAATAAATAAATGATATGTAGTTCCTCAAAAATATGAACTAGAGTTACCTGTGTTACAAGGAAAGGTGAGCAGATTCAACGAAATTTAGAGGATTTATTGGATTTTCCGTACTTGTTTCCGTGCTTAACGATCTGTGAATTGTATGTAAGCTTTAGCTTTTACGTTAAATAGATATCCACTTTCTCGATCTTTTTACACAGGCTCCAACATAAAATTTTGTGTGTATAAATTTGAGTTAACTTTTTAATTTTTTAATAAAATACACAATATAATCATAATAATCTTTATTGGATATTAAAACAGACATGTTTCATTTTCGAAGAAGTATGGATTAATCACTCCACCAGACCAAAAATCACACCAAACAGTTACTTTTTATGGATGCATTGGTTGTTTGAATATTACTCGTGGGTTTTTTTCGCCCCAGATAGGACTATTTTGCTTGTTTTGCTTATTTTGTTAAAAACATCATTTTCTTCTTTTTCTGCAAGAGCCCAATTAACAAATGTATGACGTAATCCATGGTCACTTGGCAATAATTCTTGTGTTAAATGTACTTTGTAAATATTTAAGTGAAGATCCTTATGCAAAATACTGAATAAAGTGGTCTAATCGCGAACGATGACGAATTGATGTGTTTGGTATTGCAGTAACACTACCATTGACAACTGTAACATTTTCTTGTGAACGGTCACTACGACTATAAATTTTACTTCTTTGATCTTGAATTGAACCAGTTTCTTCAAATTCATTCACAATATTTCGGATGGTGCTGTTTGTTGAACAATTTGTTTTCCCATATTTTGTACGATACTTTCCTCCAACTTCTGCATAACTTTCATCAAATTTAAAACAATTTTTAACAATAAAGACGCGTTGTTCAGTCATAGGTATACTTCTCCATATTTATTAACCGCCTTGTTTCTACTTAACAGCAAGCTGTCAAAAAACTAAAACCACTCTAGTACAAAAAACACAAATAGCGGCAAATTTAAAATGTTAACTCAAATTTGAACACCCGCTATTTAAATAAATATTGATAAGTAGAATTTTAAATAAAAAAAGAAAAAGAAATTGTAGTTAGTAGTCATGTTTTTGTTTAAACATTTTAGACATCTGAATATTAATTTTTCAAAGTCTGAATGTATGTTAGTATTTTCGAGAGCTGCTAGCTACAAACGCATGTAATCTTTCACTAACTATAGCCAACTATATTAGTACCATTTGGAATAATAGAAATTAACTGCAAAAAGCATATCAGTGTGTGCTGTCTTTTTCATTTGATACTCTTTGTTACCTCCAATAAGTATTGTAATGTTTATTACAAAAATTTTAGAATATACAGAATGTTTTGTGCAGTCACCGCAATCAGGGTTCATAGTTCAAAAGTAATAAAGAATTCCCTGACTTTTCTAGGTTTTCCCTGACTTATAAAAAAAAATCCAGGTCACTTGTAGTTCATTTTTACATACTAATTGGTATTTATGCATTAAATTTTTTCTCGACCGGACTTCTTAATCTTTTTTATAACCTAACAACCTCTTATAAAGGTTTCAAAACCACAAAAAGTTTTCTCTTTCAAGAACCCAGAGCCGGTTTTCACAAAATTTCCAGTTGCAAACATTAAATTCCCTGACTTTCATGAATATTTTTAAAATTCCCTGACTATTCCCTGTTTTTTATGAAGAATAACAAATTCCCTGACTTTTCCCGGTATTCCCGGTTTTCCCGGCCGCTATGAACCCTGTAAGGATCATAAAACTGCATATCTTTCCTCATTTAAGCTTTTTTGTACCTCTGCTACTTTCCCAGATCCCTACACTAAACATCGAAAAAAAACTCACCCAGTATATGTAAGGATGAAAAGAATGTAATAAGGTAAATTTTAATCTTGAAGTAAGTAAATAAAATTTATTTACTGAAATAAATAAATATTAATCGGAAAGTTTAATTCAAAATTATGTATTCTTGATTGAAGAAAACAGTTTTTTTTCTATGTATCCCATTGTATGATCTAACAGTGTAAACAGAACACACTAAATTACTTTGTATATATCGACATTGCTGATTACTTCCCTATTGATGAACAATAAAGTGGATACATAATTTAATGAAATATCACTTCATGATTATGTATACCACACATTAAACGATTATAGAGCACTAACTATACCATCTGAAATTATCAACAAAATCAATTATTATATTAAACATCAAATGTATCTAAATCAGAAAATATGTTTAAGACCAGGGTACGCTTCATGTAGAATTGCGAAGAAAATTGCAGCTTGTTCTGATGTTTGGTTTGAACCTTTGAAGCCCATACAATAAAGGAGTTCTTTTCAAAGTCACTTCCTTAGACGCGATTGTCATCGTATCACAACAATTAAAACTAACATTAAAGGTTTTATTCTTCAGATGTGTCTTTAGTAAAGCTCAAAGTACTGGAGTTCATAATACAACATGATTAACTTTACTAATGTTACATTTGAATATAATACCTCAAAGAAAATCTACTTTTACAACATTTTCTTTTAGTAACCAAGCAGATTTTAAATTATTTGGCCTTTTAGAAAGTTACTAAAATTTTATGCATTTTAAACTCAAATCAGTTTTCCGGTTACCATGTATGGGTATGTATATGGATATTTATATGCATGTATAATATAACGTGAGAAATTAACGTTATATTATTTTAGCCGCGTTAAGCACATTTTACGTAGTGTGCAGCGCAGGAAACAAGGCAATAAATCAGCAGGAATTTATTTAGTATTTTTCAGGCATAAGAATTCCGCAGAATATAATTCCGACACGGAAAGGATCGGGTAATATTTCATAAACATACTGCGGCTAAAATATATAACCAAAGAAAAAGTATTAATAACCCGGGTCATCCCTCCGCCGCTGGCGAGCATATTTTTTATTTGAATAAAGATCTCGGGGGAGCACAATGGTCGAGAAGTAATAAAAAAAGCTTAAGCCATCGAATGTGGCAACTTTGACNAAGTTATATAGTCATTAACGTTATTGAAACTGACAGCTGCTATACAGCTCGTTAAGAAATGAGGTTAAGTTGGTCGCTATAAGCTACTCCCTACGTCCAATGTGTCAGAGCCAACTTCGACCACGTTTTTATTTGAACGCTCGTTATTTGACACCGAGAAACCGATTACACACTACCTATGACAATTAATATTTCGAAAACTTCTCGGTTTTCGATTTCAAAACTTAAACTGACTTATTATCAAATGTCACAGATTTTTGTTTAATGCTAAATTAAAGATACTGTTGATCTCATTCTATTATAAACTTCACATTTTAAATGTCCACAATGCATTTTAATATTTTTATATCAGTATATCCAAGTAAGGATGTTAATTGTTTTTCTTTTTTTTAACGCTGAGGTCTATTTAAAAAGTTTTTATTGTTTGAGGTAGTAACATAATTAAAATAATTTGCTTAGAAAAGTGAAAAGATTCCATCTGCTTAAAATACATGTTGTATGTGTCATTCATTCATAAAATAAATATTGTTCATTACATCAAAAAGTGAAAATATCAAACAAATTTGTAATGCATACAAAGCACAAACTGTCAAATAATTTGTGAATAAATACAAATGTATGCAAATGTTTTAATATATTTTTGAAGGTAGTAGGTAATAATGTATCAACGGTTTGTCTTTCTCATTTGTTATATTTGTCTTTTAATACAAAATTGCGAAAAAAATACTATTTAAGTATATAAAATACATATAGTTCCATTAAAAACAAAGTATTGTAATATTTTGTACAGTTTTGATAGAGCACCACGTTTTTTATCTCAAATTGCTACTCTGCATATTTGTTACATTTGTTATTTGCGACTTTAATTAGTACAATGTGCCAGTAGAGACAAATTAGGAGTCAGGTTTGTATAAACATTGAATATGTGAAAGCTTTGTGGTAATGTAATATATGACTTTTCCTCTAATTAAAGCAAAAATGGTTATTTAATCAGGATTTGTCAACATAGTCCGTTTGCCTCTTTATATGTTTCTGTATAATTATTTAATTAATATATTTATTATTAAAAATAAGCAAATTTGTGTACTATTCGTTTTAATATCGATTCAGAGTGTCCGGAAATAAATGAACCAACTTCAGCACAAGCTTCATTGGATAAAAATAATAAATAAGTCACGGATTTAGGTAAAGTTATGTTAGTACCATTTTGCTTAAAAAGTTATGGCCCTTTAAGGTTTTTTATACGTATTTCATTTTTTAAACTTTTTAAATTCTTTGAGATTTGATAGATCTTTTGGGGTAGTTTTGGGGTAAATTTGAACATAAGCTAGTTTTTTATTTGAAATAGACAGGTCACTAAGAATACCTGGAATAGTCCTTGTTTTTTACTTTTTTTCCGGAAAATGTTTAAGAAAAAGCATAATGAGTAGTGGTGACATATAACCTACAAAGCATGTCATGAGTTATACTTTAAATGCCATTGCTATTTCATGTCTATTGGCACATGCTCTTAGTGATTAACTAACTAACTCGTTAATTAAAACGTGCAGAGAATTTTGTGGTAGTAATTTTATTTACTAAGTTGCTAAATTTTGACCTCGAAGTAAATAAATTCTTCTCTTCCGATTTATATTAACTTACCTCTATTACAAAGTAAACGATTACAGATACATTTGAACAGAGATATGCTAATGTAGTGCTTAAAATAAATTAGTGTAGATACAAATTTAACAAAAAAGATTCATGCCAACAAGTTGTTTCTTTATGGTTTTGTTTTTTTTTTAATTTATTGTCTACATTTAAATTTTATATAAAAACATTTCTTAACACTGAAAATAATAAACTTAATTTTTATAATTAATTGAAGCTAACGAAATTATTATGAAAACTACTGTCAACGGAAATAAGTACGCTGTATGCAATGTAAATTGAGATATTAGAGAAAAGCTATTTTACTTTCAGTAGTTCTAATTGTTACAGCCTATTATACTTGCCTATGCAATTCCTTGGTCCAGCGCTGAAAGGAATATAAGCGTAATTGTGCCTTAAGGATTGTTTTTCGGGCAGGAATCTTTCAGGATCAAATTTTTCAGGCTCACTGAACACTTCTGGTGCATGGTTCATTCCGTATATAAATATAGATATAGTTGTTCCCTTTGGTATCTTTGTGCCATCTGTAACATAAGAGTGCCCATAATAAAAATCTAAAACGTCTCGTTTCTCTCGATACTGGATGTTTTTAAATGGTACCAGTGAATGTAGAGCCAAAAATAAGAGGATTGAAGTAAAAATACATTATAATGAAAGTTGCACCCCTGAGGCGATATACCCTCTTAAAGGAGGGGATTGAAATTCACATTTTAATTATTTTCTTTAACATGAGGAATGCTAGAGACACGAAACTTGGTCTATCTATTACTAATAAAGAGACAACTTTCCAATATTTGTTCGATCATTGGCTATAGTTTATCTTTTCGGGAACACATATTCACTAAAATAAATAAGGCAGCAAAATCGTATGGCTTCATATTAAGAAACTGTAGAAATTTTAGCAACATTAAAACTTTAAAAACATTATATTATTCGTTTGTCAGGTCTAAATTAGAATATGGTTGCATCATTTGGAGTGTTATAAAATCAGTATTGAAAGAATTCAGAGAAAGTTTTTAAAATTTTTGTATTTCAAAGAAGTTGGAAATTATCCAGAATTTGATACTCAATACAATACGCTGTTGACAAGGTTTGATATTACCAGTTTAGACGTAAGAAGAAAAAAATGTTTTTAACTGTCTTTTTTTATACAAAATATTACATAACAGTATTGATTGCTCTGTTTTTCTGTCTCAAATTCAGTTTATTATACCCAGCGAACACTCAAGACATACGACATACCTTTTTTCTTAACATTCCTAGAACGAATCTTACTTTAAAATCACCTTTATATGTAATGTGTTGTAACTTCAATAAATTATGCCACTTGTGTGATAATTTTGAGCGTATATTGATAATTACTAAATCAGGAACGTATCTTTTGATGATATGTGGATTATCTTTGTATTTTTTTGTATACCTAATTGTTTCGTAATTAATGTACTAAGTTTGTATTGTATCTGTATTTAGATTAAGTAGGTATTTATAATTTTTAGAAGTAAAATAAAATTGCTCTGTAAATGGGGTAACTGTTGAGCAATAAAGCTATTATTATTATTAATAATAATAATAAGTTTTCCTTAGTAACATATCCATAGTGTTTTGTTTCTAATAAAAATATTTAAAATATTTTTACCAACAATCCAGTCATCTTCCAACATCCTCTCTATAAGAGGTACGGGAGAGTAATATCTTAATGCTTCCTTCACCACGATATCTAAGTACTTCAACTCATTTATTTGAGACGTGCTAATATCCGAGTCAATATCATTTCCGAAGGCCTCTTGTAATTCTTCGTAGATCTTCTTTTGAATTTCATTATTCTGACAAATGGCGTAGAGGGTGTAGCAGATCGCTACGCCTGCCGTATCGTAACCCTGAAAAATAATCAGTTAATGGCAAAATAATTAAAATTGCAGTGTAAACTTATAACCTCGAGTACACTATTTATAAAACTAGCTTATAAAATCGTATAACCTATTACAAATGTTTGACGTGTTAGAATACATAATCTCATACTCATACTCATACTNTTAAAATTATTATTATTATTAATAATAATAATAAGTTTTCCTTAGTAACATATCCATAGTGTTTTGTTTCTAATAAAAATATTTAAAATATTTTTACCAACAATCCAGTCATCTTCCAACATCCTCTCTATAAGAGGTACGGGAGAATAATATCTTAATGCTTCCTTTACCACGATATCTAAGTACTTCAACTCATTTATTTGAGACGTGCTAATATCCGAGTCAATATCATTTCCGAAAGCCTCTTGTAATTCTTCATAGATCTTCTTTTGAATTTCATTATTCTGACAAATGGCGTAGAGGGTGTAGCAGATCGCTACGCCTGCCGTATCGTAACCCTGAAAAATAATCAGTTAATGGCAAAATAATTAAAATTGCAGTGTAAACTTATAACCTCGAGTACACTATTTATAAAACTAGCTTATAAAATCGTATAACCTATTACAAATGTTTGACGTGTTAGAATACATAATCTCATACTCATACTCATACTGTTTATTGATCATCCATATACAAGTGTACACTTTTAAGTCACAATAAAAGAACAGTCATTAAGAAAGTTAGAGATGCTGTAAAAACAGTGTTCTAGCAAGTAATTTTTAGCAAGTCTTTTGAACTTATAAATGTTCATGTCATCAATATTAACAGTTTCAATACATCCATTATTGTATAATTACTAATTATTTGTATAGCCATTTTCTGTAGACTAAAAACTAGCTTTGGTTGAGTTACCCCAAAGTGTAACTCCATAATTTATGTGGCAAATATTTGAGAGGAAAGTCTATTGCTCAGTAGGTATGCGGCTTGCATGTGAGATGTGCATCGAATGTTAGGCCCAATAGTTTTACCGGACGTATCAGAACTGAAACGGATAGATTGGGTTTTCTGGTCATTTAGTTTAAGCTTGTTAGCTGAAAACCAATCACGTGCTTGAGAGATTCCAACACACAATTAGAAGATACATAAAATAGATAAAGTTGGATACCTGTGCAGTCAAAAACTGTCCAAATATTAAGACTGATTAAATTTCTCTGTATTTTTTGCGGCGGAGAAACTGCAAATGTAATTAAATCCATAAAAATTGCTCTTAAAGTATATATAGTTTTGTAAAAAAAATTGATTTATAAAACAATATTCACGCAAGATTTCAATTTCGCACCATTTGTGCGGTAAAGTGTTGCCAACGAAAAAAAAAAAAAAACAGCATGACAGCTGACAATTCAGGGTTATGAAAAATGGAGCACTACTCGAAAGAACTGCGTTTTCACTGTTGAGCAATAGTTTAAAAATAATGAAAGTTTGACAGCTACAGATCGCAATTTTCGTACAAAATGTGGTGGAACAGTGATTTAACTTTGTCAACTGGGAAGAGATTGGTTGAAAAATTTAGAGAGACTGTATCAATTAGTGATCTTAAACACTCTGGCCGTCCTTCACAATTCGTTCAACACAACACAAACAAAGTCAAGCAATAACAGTTAATGGTGCTCGCTATCCTGACAACATAACCCAATTTTTTGTGCCTAAATTGTAAGATATGGATGTAGACGACATGTTTTTCCAACAAAACGGTGCCATGTGCCATACCGTCCGAGAAACAACTCAATTACTGTATGAGTCATTTCCTGGTCGTGTAATTTCCCGTTTTGTTGATCAGAATTGGACACTCAGATAACGATTTAATGCCGTTGGACTCATTTCTTTAGGGCTTTTTTGAAGCCTAAGGTTTATGCAAGTACTGCAGCAAAATAATCTTTCCCTGATACTCCAATACACAGGATATATGGTGGCATAATTTTTTAAATTAGTAGCCTTACTGAATAGAATAGAGGCTCATAAAATCATTAAACAGATTTAAAAAATGCCAAGGAAAATTAATTTAAAAAACAAATATGTCCTACAAATGATGAATTCTAACCGGAAATATATTATTTATATATTAGTTATTTAAATATGTACGTATACCTTTACACAAATCAGCTAATAACAGTTATTGACAAAAATAATTTCCGGTAAAAATTGGTGTTGGTTAATTGGACAAACATCTGTAGAATCTTTGTAATAAATTATTTTCTCAGGAAAAAATTATTGATTACTTATTTTAAATATTCTAAAGTAATTTTTTTATTTAGGTATGTACATTAAGTTTTTTTGGATATAAAAGATTTCATACAAAAATTGTGTTGTCTCAAATACATAAGTTATAATTTAAATGTGGAACCATATATGAGAAGGTAAATTTTTCCATCATTTAAAAAAGTTCATGTATGAACCTATGTCCTGTGTACAAGGTGAAACATATCACATAATACAATAAATAAATACACAGAGGTTGACATTTATGAAAAAACAGCAGCAGCTGCCAATTCTATTTCTAACTTTGTTTTTATCAATCGCAATATCTAAAAGTATTGCTAAATAATTAATATTTATTAAATAGTCAGATATATTTCTCTGAAAATAAATAATAATTACGATTGACCTATACACTCTCCTGATGCTAAGTTTATTTCGAAACTGTGGTTATGTTAAATGAATCGGCATTTATTTGAAACCAATTCCGATAAATTTATTAAGTATCATAGTATTTTTATATTGATAGTTGTTTTTTTTTGTTACTGCTTTTATCTACATTTTTTTAATTGTGTTTTCTAAGAATTCTTTAATGATATAGAATATGTTCAAGTGTCTAGCAAATACTGCCTAAAATATAAAAAAATATATTTGTTAAATTATAATTCGTATAACCCGTTTATCCGAAATTATTTAATTGCGTCACAACTTTTCTTTGTTTATTTAGTTATGTTATCAATATTTATCTATCGTAAACTTCACCTTGAATATTCGGAAAACACAAAAGACGTCGATACGAGTCTTCGTTTCCGGTTCCGTTTTCAACTTCAAAGGTGTATCGATGATAAATTGCGGTAATGCATTTTCTAGACTTAATGAACAGCTACAATGTTATCATAACAATGTTATTGAATATTACCCTTTCTGAATTGAAGACCATTTGAAAAGGAGAATAAGAAGCTACTTAATTTCTACAGTTTTGTCTTTTTAATGTTACCTTCTAAGGTACCTAATATGGACATGACAGCTATTCGAAATAAGCTTAGCTGTAAGCAATATTAAAAGTAAGAATTATTTGATTTTCACATTATTTGCGTCATAACCATCCATTTTTCTATTTTTTCTGGAATCTTAGACGTTAGGCGTGTAGTCTTATTATACAGGGTGTACATAAATAAGTGCGAAAAAATTCAGGGGGTGATTCCATGTGGAATATAAAAAAATCTCATTTGAACATCCGCTGTAAAAATATAAATTTCTAAAATATCAATAAAGTGACAGAAATAAAATTAAGTAAACATTTTCTGCTATCGAGAAGGCACTCAGTAAACAATTTGTTGATTTTTCCCTACGGTTGCAAGGGGTAGAAACAGCCACCCCTAAGACTTGTTTCGTACGTGACTTTTTTTTATTACTACTTTACCATTTGAAAATTCATTTCAGATAGACTGATTCATTTTAACCTAAAAAGGTATCTTGTAATTTTTTCGTAAAATTTTTTATTTTTTTTTGCATTTTTGAGCATGTTTTTGAAATGTTATTACAGATTTTTTTATTTCACCAAAAAGTATATGTCAAAACGAAAAAAATTATTACCGGCAGAACTTTTTTTAAGTAGAATTTTTCTTTGAAAGAAATGTTTCAGGACGAAAAAAATTAATATCTCAGAAACTTCTTGATTTTCTTATCTAAAAAAAATTGGGGTTATTTAAGACTGAGAAAGGTATACTCTCAGCAAGTTTCGTCAAAATTAAATAATTTTTGCAAAAATGAGAAATAAAAAACGAAAAATCAGAAAAAAACCTGTTTTTCGCATTTTTCTCGGAAAATTTGAGGTTATATTAAAAAGTGACCGCTGCAAAAGTTGTAGATTTTTGCATAGTCTACAACTTTTGTACTAGATACTTTTTTGTTTGACGTCAACTTTCGCCAGAAATTACAATTTTTCATAATTTTTCAACCCCCCAAATCAACCCTCTGCCGCCCCTGCTGATGCATTTATTTTTTTTTTAGGTTTATTATAAGTCCTTTTACCATTTCCACTTATGGGAACCATTTTTTTTTCTCCAAGTGTAATTTGGTTGGACTATATAGTAGGGATATTGGCGAAGATCTTCATAATAAAAAATGACGTGGAAATTTATCCGTATTTATTATTTGAGAGCAGATTAATAAAATATCCAAATAGTTGCGTATTATTTTTTTTTTAATCTGAATGAAAATACTACTCGTAAACATCAGTTTTTCTATAATATTGTAAATACAACTAAAAATTTACAGATGTATGTAGTCGTTTGACCTTGAAAATTAAAAAATTTTTGCCTGCAGCGCTTTTTTTCTTTCTTGACCACCTAGTAAAAAAGCCACTGGCCTCATCTATTCACAATGTCACGAGCCACCACTGATGCAAGGGCATTTCTAGGGTGTAAAATGTGAACTGCACATAAATAAAATTTGCTAATACAATTTTTCCAAGTAGGTTCCTAGAAAATGGCAGACTTAGTATTTACAATTTTGATAAAATTGCAGTTTCTAACAAAGCGCATTCTAAATATTTACTTAATGAAAAACATTAGAGCTTAATCTATTTTTTACTTATTATGATAACGACTCATAAATTAAAATACCCTCTACATAGTGGCACTTAGGTGTGTGTATATTCTTTTTGTTTAAGTTTGTTGTTATAGATAGGTGGTAGTTTACAATATGCTTGCCTGTATTCGTTAGAAGTGGTACTACATGAAAGAACAATATTTACCCACCTCAAACATAAAAGTATCCACCTCTTCCCTTATGTCTTTATTAGTTAGCTCCTTTCCATTATAAGTTGCCTCCAGCAGCATATCCAGAAGCGCAGCCTTAATCTTAACGCCGTCATCGCCTTCCTTGCCATCTTTTTTGCTTTTGAATTCCCTTTGACGTTCCTTAATAACGTTATCAGTGAAATTGTGCAGTATAGTGAGATACTCTTTGTATGTCTTATAATAAGGCGACAGTCTGAATAAAATTGGGTTTCTGAGCCAGCCCGAGAAAAACCGCATCGTGAAGATTTCAAGGAATCCCGTGACCGCCTCTACGTATTTAGGGTTTCCTTTAAATTGTGCACGGATGGGGGTGCCAAATGCAGTTTCTGAAATATTCGTAATAGTTTAGCTGAGTATTTATTATTTGTAGTGAGACAAAAAAATTTTTCTACACATATTTGCAAATGTGGCACATTTTCATTTTTTGTTTTGTATTAAAGACGCTAGAAAATGAAATCCAACTGGCTAGTATCTGTTTTGTATTAGTTTTAGTTAGTTCGCTGTCTCAAACTGGGCCGAAAAGGTACAAATTTTCGGACGATTTCAGAAAAATATACACTGTGTCCCAGTTATGATATGGGCAAGCGTATTGATTTTCATCAAAACGACAAAAAACATTCAGGGCACTTGGAAAAAAATCGCAGCGTTTTGAAATTATCGGTATTTCTTTAGGACACTTTGAGGTTGAAAAGTTACAGTCGATATCCTTTGTGTATTCATTATTTGCAAAGTTATGCCAAGTTATTAAAATAGCCCTAATTATGCAATTTTTTACCTTTTTTCTAACCAACATTTTCACTCTGAAAACATTTTTTTTATCAAAAACCCATAATTACGACTTGTAGAAAATACTTTGCACTTTCCAAAACCCTGCTTAGATTTTCTGTACGACCATTATTTCCCGAGAAAAATTATTATTTTGCTTTGATCGACGATAACTTAGTGACCAATAATTATATAAAAAAACGATGATGAAATTACCAATAAAAAAATTTTCCATAGGCCTTTTTAAAAAAAGCAAAAATGTACAAATTTTGTTTTCCGTTGTATTTCTTATGGTTACTCAAAAACTGCTGACTCTAAACTACAGATCTGAAAACTAAACACGTGAAGCTTCAATTTCCTTAATTTTGATTCTTTCTGCGACCATTTCCCTCCAAGTTACAGCTCTTTGAAAATCGCCCAAAATTTTGGGATCCCTTAATTTCTGTGCCTTGTGTAGATATTAAGTGCAATATATTCATGTATATTTGGCCCAATTAACTCCCATAATCCAACCACCCTATGGTCCCATTATAAATTACGCACTTGAATATCTCGTCATATAATCTAATATCTAATTTTTTAAATAGGAGTCTCCATTTTTAGCCCCGGATTCAAAAAGAGCACAAAATCTTAAATTTAGATAGGTACTTAAAGCTCGTTTAAGTTTAAATAGATACGTTAGTTTACGTTTCGATAGGTATTTAAGGCTGTTCTTCGTCAAGCTCAAATTGAAGGACACCATCCGATGTCCTCCTCCGAACCCAACAACTTTTGTAAGGGTAATTTTTGGACTGGTGGTTCCTCTGACTAAGTATTCAGGTGCGTAATTTAAAATATTTTGCCCTTGAAATAACCTTTAAAGGTCATTCCAAAGAAGAGCCTTAAGTGTCTATCTAAACGTACAATTTTGTGCTCTTTCCGAAATCAGAGGTCAAAAATAGAGGTTCCTATTTAAAAAATTTGATTTGACTGACTTTGAAAGTCAAATTGATCTCCCTCCGAACCCAACAACTGTCGTAAGGGTTATTTTCGAATTGGTGGCTTCCCTGACAAGATATTCTAGTCCGTAATTTAAAATGGGACACCCTGTATATATATTAGGGTAGATAGGAGTTACTATACATGAAAATATTGCACTTAAATATCTATTATGATCAAGAAACGTTTCATTTTAAGAGACTTTGCACTTTTGGATCTCGGAAAATGTCCATTTTTGAACTTTGTGCCCATTAAAACTTTGATCAGGAGGATATCAAGTACAAAATATCAAAAATCCATACAAATCTACCGGGAACTGAAATCCATAAGGTTTGCGGGGAGTCCTTTAAAAAAATCGCTGATGCAGGTTAATTAGTAAATAGAAATTTTCACTTTTCTGCAATATTTGACAGACCCATAACATTACCGACATTTTTTTTAATACGACGCTCTATATTTTATAGTATAAATATGTATATAGCCCTTCTAAAGACGAATTCAGCGATATAAGGTTATACCTACTTTTTTGTCATAGTTGTCAAAAAATGAATGAAAGCAATAATTTTGTACCACTTTTTATTTTAATACAGCAAATGTTCAAAGTGGACCCCAGTAACCATTCCACAATGCCCAATTCGGTGTTCAAAGTTATTTTGAATAACATTTGGTTTTATGCTTCGAAGTTCGAACTTCTTCTCTGATACGATTTTTCAATCTTTCGACAGTGTCTGGACTGTTCACATACATTTTGCTTCTTAGATAACTCCACAAAAAAATCTAGTGGGGTTAAGTCAGGGGAGCGTGCCATTCAAGGGCCCTGTTCTGCTTATTCATCGATTTGGGAAGACTTCATTAAGGTAATTTCTTACGTCGACGCGAAAATGTGGAACCAGACATCACCAGCAGACATATCGTTCTCATTAGAGTTGGGAAAAATTAAATCCAGGGCTGGAGTCAGCAGAAAACTAAAAAAATCCAGGTAAATGTCGCCTGTCAAATTGCCCTCAAAGAAATAAAGCCCCAGTATACGATGTCCTAGTATTCCAGTCCAAACATTCACTTTTTTCGGCCATTTTGTATGTTTTTCTTGCATCCAATGCGGATTTTCTGGGCTCCAAAACCTAGTATTTTGCCTGTTCTCGGTTCCGTTTAAGGAAAAAGTTGCTTCGTCAATGAAAATTATGTTATCTTTCAAAGAAACTAGTTTCCTCGCAAAACTGTAACTGTGTCTGTGTCATCTGTACATAGTTCTTGTAAGCCGTTAACTTTATACCAGTTTTGAGACATCAGAGTTCTTTAAACTGAGGACTTCGACAAGTTGAAATATGTAGATCTAATGGATAAGCGAGGATTTCCAGTAACGGGGAGCATCGCATTTTGACGGTCATTTTCTCTTATCCTTCTTCGCCTTCCCGATCCAGGTAAGTCTTTTGTACTTCCGGTTTCTTCAAACTTTTTGGATACTTTACTTATTGTAGCTCGACTAATTCTCTGGTCTGGATACTTATGGTGAAATAAGTCACATACCTCCTGTTGACTACGGATTTTATCTCCGCATCCAATCATAATTAAAATTTCAATTTTCTGTTTTTCGCTTAAAGGGGCAACCATTTTTCAAAATAATTTAACAACGAATTAATTGAAACTGAAACGAATCACGTTATACTTAAGATACTTTGGTGAAATTTATGTGTTTATCGATGTGTTTTTTTTTAAATGCTTTAAAGTCTTAAGTAGAAAAAGATTAATAAAGAGTAGGTACGTTTTTTAATGTACAGAAGAGACTATGATTGTTTGAAATAGTCGTCAGTACGACATAAGAGAATTTTTTTTTACATTTTTTTGAATTCGTCATTAGAAGAGCTATCTATTTATACCCACTATAAAATATAGAGAGTCCTATTAAAAAAATGTCAGCAATGTTATAGGTCTGTCAACCATGGCTCAAAAAAATATAAAATATGACGATTTCTATTTACTAATTGACCTGTTTCAGCGGTTTTAAATCTAAACTGGAAAAAAATATGAATTTTGTTCCATCATTTTGGAACACATTTTTACGATTTGATAACAATTTCTGTATACTGTGTGTAACGCAAAACTGCAAATTCTCTGTAAACTTACCGAAAGTTACGGATTTTCTTACAGGTGTGTGCAGAATCGACACATTAATCACCTGCGAAATTCCGATGTGACAAATACAAAAATGTCATTAGAATCTGAGATTTAGGAAGTCATGTTATATTGACAGAGAAGTACGAAAAGAAAGGCCACAAGGAACAGAAAATTTTCTTAATATTATCCTGGAGTTTTTGAATCGTGACATCAACAGTTTGTTAACCTTAAGTAATGGTGTGTATCAACAATAAATATTTTTCAGAAATATGATTCAAGAGCTAAGTTGTGTCAATATAATTTTTAGTGAAAATTCAGATCGTTCTGTAAGTCACAATGTCACAATAGATAATTTATAAGATAATATATTTTTACGAAAATTTGAAATATCTATCTGCCATTTTTTTATTAGTCTACTAGGTCGAAACAATAGAGTTAAATTTTTTTATCTAGGTACCGCGTACCTAGTTAATTTCGTTAAGTTGAAAATGTTTCTAATTTCTGCAAATGTTGTTTCTACAACGAAGGATATGTAAGGCATTTTTTAGCATAGATTTAGTAGAATCGAAACTTACCACAAATGGCATCCAAAGATGCAAGATTTATAAAGCTGTGAATTTCTTTTGGAGTATTTGGGTTGTTTTCAACTTCTTTGGTCACCAGGTCGATAAGAATATTGAACTGTTTATTGAAAACCTTCATGAATTCTTCCAAAATTTTGAAGTGGAAAGTTGAAGTAATCATTTTCCTGCGGCTTCTCCACTTCGTACCTGCAAGCATTGGTTCAAATTGTCACTAATGCATTACATTGCATTATAACAATCAAATACGATGATGATATCCTCTTTGCCCATTCTCACTACAAGCAATTAGAACCAATATACCATGAAGCATCATGATATAAAGATACATTGTATTGTATTTGCATGGAACACACAGGGTGTTTAAAATGATGTAGGTATCATAAACCCTCTTTCTAAAACTCGTGTCCGTCTTTCTGTCCGTCGAGAGTCTTTCAAAAGGTCTTGCTTCAATCGTACATTCAATAAATAAGGAGCAAATGTGTAAAATATTGTCTATTATTGCACATTTTCAGAAGACACAAAAATGTGATACTCAAATACAGCTGCTCTATTTATAAAGACATTTCATTAAAAGTATGCTAGAAAAGATACAAATAATTACATGGAATGAAAAAACAAGAGGACAAACTACATTTTATATGGATCAAGTCAATTTGTAAGTCCTTATAGTGATAAAATGTTGATCAAGAACTGCTAAAATTGACTAAAATATAAACTTCAGAGGGCGTCAGTTTTTGAATCGTTGTTGTGACGCCATGCTGTGGTACCATTTTCTGATGCACGGGCTAAACGTAAATTCATTGGAAGTTTATTTCTGATTTTAAAAATGTCGTATTACGTTGCAGGTGTAAAAAGTGACTAGTTTTTGCTCATGGGTATGAATACTCTGTATCTTATCTGTATCTTTACAAATTTGCTGGATAAAACAGGAAATGGACATTTTCTGATGTTGCATGTTCCCCGTGATCTTTCAGTGTGAAAAACGAGGCGAAAAATTAAAGGAATCCTTGAATTTCAACATTATTATAGTTTAGATGGACTTTCTTGTTCTGTCATTGTATTATTAGAAGTGCAATTGTTTATAAATCACCAACTTTAAAGCTACACAGTGAAGAGAAACATAATTCAGGATATGAAATGCTATATCAAAATTATGATATGTTTCTTGAAAGCTTCGTCAAATAAATTTGTCTATATTGCTCACCTGTACTAACTAATAATCCATCACCTAACCAGGGTTTGAACAAATCGTACCCATCAGATTTACTTAAATGAACATTGGAGTTCAGCAACTGTTCCAGATATTCCGGCTTTGAAACCATTAAGTGTAATCTGGGCCCTAGCCATAGTTTGTAGAATGATCCATATTTCTTCTGTAGCTTCATGAACGAATGAAGTAAGCCTGGAACAAAAACAATATCTTAAAATCTAAAGAGTTTGTTCCAAAAAAACCTCCTGTTCCTAATCGGTTTTTATTTTTAAGATCACTTTTAATAGTCCACATTCCAAGAGACTAAATTAAAAGAAAATTAAATTCGACATCCAAACGCAGAGTAGTTTTTATAAAACTTGTTAAAAAATACTATATTAATAGAACATAAAACTTAGTTATGATATAATAATATTAATAACATTTGTCTCGATCGTATAATAACTATTCTGGGAACAATTTTATGAATTGCGATAGTTAAATAGATGAACAAATGCAATATGTAGTAAAGATGCTTTCGACGTAGAGATAAAATACAAGTAGTAAGATATAATTAGAAACAGATAAGACGTAAACGAAGATTGATTTCCACTGATATTGCACTGATTTTAATATACCTGATATACAAAAATGTGTCTCAACTACCCATTTTGTGAGGGGAAAAAAGTAAATATAATGATATGGAAACCAAATAAAAACAAGAATAGAACAGAAAGAACATAAAATATATCCCAAAAACTACTAGAGACAAAATTAAACCAGTAACAATAAGGATAACTGTTCAATGGGTTTTCAGAAAACAAAAATAGTGCTGTTATAACTGGCTATTGTTACTAAAAATGACACGTCTTCGATGTAAACATTAATGAGTTTGCAGAAATTAAAAATTATGTAATTATTGTAACTATCTGATGCTACAAAAAATACAACGATATTAAAGTAAATTTTCAATGGGTCTGTGAATATTAAAAATAAACTGATATCATAACTGATTACTGTTACCAAAACATATAAAGGATGTATACATAATATCGCGTAAACAATATTCGTAAATATAATCATGATATTTTGTATATAAAAAAATTGAATGTCTCACAAATTGTAAGTCCTAGGTATACAGAACCTTTAATAAAGTTCACCTATTTTTTTACGGTGCTTTCAAAAATGCAGTAAAATACAGGGTGTTCCATTTAAAAAAACATAACTTTGATATGGTACGCTTTTCCTGGACACCCTGTATATCTCAAAATATTTTTAAAATGTAGCCGTAATCAACCTACACATACCCACCTAAACAGGTTTCTGTAACATTTGCCGTTTGATCACTAGCGACCGAGGCGTTACTGGTGGCCCACCCTGTATTAAGAAAATCATAAATCTAAGACTGATATTTTTAAATAATAGTTATTAAATTTGTTTTGATTCGTATCTAAAAGTCATAGCACACTTGTCGTCGTCATCGTTGAATGGAGTTGTCCAGACACAAATAAATCAGACAGTAATATCGACATCACATTTTCTTACCTTTCGGAGTATTCTCAACGTCCTTTGCGTTTCCAATTACCGGAAAAGGCTTGGGGCCAGGGACATTTCGTAAACACGCGTACTTCGAATAATTTAAATACCAGTTTAACAAGGGCGTTAGAAGAACCACTGCAACAGCTACAATTGCACCAAGAACTAACATGGCGCGGCGATGTGTTTATAGCGTCAAATTGGGTTAGCACTGATAGCATTAATAAGAGGACGACTGTTTACTGGAGATTCTTTAATTTACTAATAATATATCTGCTGATAAATAATGAGCAGCAAATCACAAAAAGTACCCAACCGAACCAGACAGCTGATAAATAAACTTTATATTGAAGGCAAATAATATAGTTCAGATATGGTTTATGTGTTTGTCTCTTGATTATATAATGTAAATACAATAAATACACAGTGGCTATAATTAACACTCTGTCTATTTTAGAATTATAAAAATATGATCTCTTGTTTAAGAATGGGGCTTCACAATTTTCAGAAAAAAATTTAAGCTAGAGAAATCGTTTTCAATTTTGTAACAGAAATAAACTTTTTCTTCAATGTGCCAAACTGTAACTTAATTACGTTTTAATTTGTTTTACGATATATGATAACTGCTATTCATTATATACCAGACTTTATAATTTCAGTGACAAACAATGTTCCACAGATGTTAGTAATAAAGCGTTAAAGCGTTTTATATCTACAGAGTGTGGAGTGTATAATCTATAAAAATTAAACTACAACTTCCTGATGTTTTTTTGTAAATTAAAATTCACTTATTCAACGAAAATGAAGACAAAGGCCGACCCTGTGTTATTTATTAAAAACTTTGGAAATGTCTTTATGCCATCCGAAATGCAACCTTATAATTTAAGTCGGTATAATCTAATACGAGTAATACTAAAAGAAGCTTGGGTTGCATTGTCAAAAAATTTGTGCAGTCAACTGATTTAGTATTTGTATTGAATTCATTATTCACTTAATTATTAAATATTAAGCATCGTGTTAAAAAGTGAAAGATTCCAGACAGTGTAATTTTTATAAAGAAATGAAAAATAAGAATAGCGTGCCGATTACATTAAAATCGAGATTCTTATTTCTTACTTTGCTTAATTTTTTAGTTTGTGCACAAACTAGTTTTAAAATAAATCGAGAAAACAATGCATTTACTATTTCCGAAAGTGTCGATATGGTGTTAGTGTATGGTGCAGCAGGAGAAAATGCGCTCGCGGCGACTAGGTTGTACCGGGAACAATGGCCACAACGTCACCCCTCATGTGCAAATACAATCCTACAGTACGTTTAGCGGCTGCGAGATATGGAAAGTGTTATTCCTCGAGGAGAAGGACGTAGTCAGCAAGTGAACCTTAATGTTGAGGATGCAGTGTTGGAAAATCTTTACGAAAACCCCACAATTTGCACACACACAGCAAGGTGAGGTAGGAGGTGAGGTTCCTATCCTCATCTCCTACCGTACATTGCATCTTAAGGCGCCAGCTGTTGCACCCCTATCATCTGCAACCCGTTCAAAAGATTTTACCCCCGGATTGTGAGCAACGAATGCGTTTGGATTTTACGGCAATGTGCCAAGCAAGTAGATTTTCCTGCTTATGTTTGTATAACAGATGGGGCGACATTTACCCGTGATGAAGTGAATTTCCATAATATGCACATATGGACCGATGAAAACCCTCACGCATTTAGGGAAACTCATTTTCAATATCGGTTCTCTGTAAACGTTTGGGCTGGCATAATAAGCGATGTACTTGTGGGTCCCTATTTCTTTGAAAGACAACTAAATGGACCAACATATGCTGACTTTTTGGAGAAACAGTTGCCTGAATTATTGGACGATGTGGCATTACAAGTTCGGGCACGCATGTTTTATCTGCAAGATGGGGCTCCTCCACACAGTACTCGAGAAGTAACTACACTTTTGAATGAAATGTTTCCTCAGCGATGGATTTGACGCTTTGGTCCTGTGCCGTGGCCACCTCGGTCACCCGATCTAACCCAATGGTATTTTATCTTTGGAGTCACTTGAAGTCATTGATTTACAATACTCCAATTGCTACGGTGGAAGAATTGCGAAACCAAATATTTGAAGCTGCTGACACAATTAGGGGAATACCTGGAATTGGGAAAAATTGGGTGCATCGATACCATGCCTGTATCCGCGCTAATGGGGATCATTTTCAACATTTTCTCTAGAAATGGTAAATTTTATTTCATTTTGTTCCATATTTTAATGGAGTTTGTTTAGTGCACGCAGTTGGCAACTACAGAGATGGTTTTGTTTGCAAACTCTTGCAGTAACAACAATGCATTTAAGATAGTAATTACTATTAATTATTATAATAAGAACCCTTTGTTATATTTATGCCTTTTTGTTAATAGGTCATATTGTTATCATAAAAAACTGCAAATTAGTTCAAATTTTTTATAGTTTGCGGCATCCAGGAGTGCATATTAATTTCAGCGCATTATATCCAAAATTAAATTTGGAACGTGCTTTTTTTAGTTCTTGGTTTAATACCGTAGAAACGTGTAAACATTTTTCAGAACCAATAAAACTATTTTAAAAGCAAGAAATGATTCAACAAAAAAAAATTAAAATAGAAACCCTGAAAACTGTATTTTTCTTTTAATTTCGCATTCTCTTTGGCATACTGACATCATAGTGTATTTTAGTGTGATTTTATTGACTTTTAACTGAAATTAATATTGACAGATGACAATAATCTCTTTACATTAAAATCTTTTTTATTTCTCCTAATAAGGTCCGTAAAATCAATAATTATTCAGAATCATTAAAATTTTATGAACAAGGGTAATATTCGTAAATTTATTGTGTTTAACCAATACCGCCTTTAGTTAAATTACAATTAAGAGTTATTAGCACATCAGCTGGATGTATTCATAAGTTTAACCTTGTGAGGTTTTTAACGTAATTGGAGATGTAGCTATGATTCTACATACATAAAAAAAAGATTTATCTCTGTGGTTTCCATATATTCTTTTTAATTATGCTTGTTAATAATAAATATAAATAGAATTTCTGCCTAAATGATCACTTATAGCCTTTATGTGGTCATATATTATTTTCTAGTATGCTGTGATAATTATACTTAATCATAAAAGAACTACTAGTTTTCCTTCCATTTCAATTGACATTTTAGTTGGTATTTCGATAAGCAGATTGATTTTGTGTAGGTATAAGTAAAGTTATAATTTGCTTTTCCTAAAAATAATTATTACATATTTTCCAAAGCATTTAGCAACAGCTTGTTAGGAATCTTCGCGAAAGTAAAAGGCCCCTCGAAATTATTTTTTATATGTAGTTTCTATTTTATTGCTTCGTTTATATATTGTCTACCGTTTAGCTCGACTGAATCATAGAGGAAATTCTTGTGTATATTTTTAATATTCCGTTCAGAAAATAGTATTACAGAAAAGACAATGGAAGATACACGTTTTTAACCATGTACCTAAAAGTAAAATACGTTTTTTAAATAGAGATCCGGTTAGGTAGAGTTTAAGCCACGGTAATTTAAAAAAAAATTGTAAGTACAAAATAAATATCTTGAATGAAATATATCCGGCTTACACTTCTGCTAAATTCAATTAAAATTAACCTTATTTTCATTTGAACTATTAATGAAATTCCTCTCTAACCTGTGTTAGGTACTTTTACGTTAACCAGAACCGTTGAATGAGAAATAGTACTATTTTTCACTCAACGCCAGAACTAAATGGTTCAAATCAGGTACATCTTAACCATTAAAGTCAACTCTTTACATCTACAAGCTCCTGACACCGAAAATAAGTTCTACTTAATAATGATAGTTCTAAACACAATAAAAATTGTAAAATGTTTGCTGTAACCACTTCTCTTTAACGATTAATAAATCGTTGTATGGGTTTGCAATAAAAACTTGACCTGATCTTCACTTGATTCCATTTGTATCCGTTCCATTATCCTTTTTTTTTAGTAAAGCATTCAGTTTGGTAAATTTGCTTGTTCTTCAATATAGAATACCTACTTTTAAACCTTTCTCTGAAAAACACAAATAAGATATCTTCATTGAAATTTCCCACCATACGATAACTGCACAAATATTACTGCGATGGCAAAAATTCGTGTACCACTTTTCCGCGGTTTTTTTACTTTATAATCTTTCGTTATTTAGGAACTTAGGAACCGCAAAATTGTTAACCTATTCATAATGGGCCAAAGAACAGGGGCAAAAATTCTTTCGGACAAAATATGAAGATAGTGAATATTGCTCTGGATAAAGATACAAGGCGTCATAATTACAAAATGAGTATTAAATCAGGCTCGGCCATAGAGGGCGCCACATTAGCAATATCTGATAATTAATTTCTCTTTTATTTTTTGTTGACGATAAGTTCCGATTCGGTTGTCTACAAATCCTTACATCAATCTTATTTTGACGTAAAAAAAAGTACGCTTGGTGAATCTTGAAAATTTCAATAATATTCGAGAGAACTACTCTCCAAGATTTCTGCTTACGCTCGACATGAAAACCACTATTGAAATTTTATTTAAATAAATCAGTATTGTAAATTGTGAATCGTATATTTTAAATTTAATAAAACCTCTCTCCACGCTTTTGTTTCTGAATCGATTTTTCTGTATCAAGAAAGTGCAAACATATCACTCAACTCACTCAAATATTATAGTCTTCAGGTAAGAACAAGGTTCTTTACATAATCTAAATAGGTATATCTTCAAAGAAATACTATAGCAATAGTTTTCCCCCGAATGTCCAAATTCTACTCTGTTAATATAAGTAATCCAATAATGCCAACAATATACTTAGCTTAACTTTTATAGAAATGAAATATTTTACTAAATAGAGAAAACATAGTGTAAGTAACACATAATTATTACCATTATAAAGTGTTCCTTGATTAATTTTTTAAAAATAAGACGATATTGCTCGGATGTCTACTTAAAATCATTTTAAAACTGGCGCATGCACCATTTTCTCTGATGAACTGCAAACAACTGCAATGGGTATAGGCAACCAGTAAAGCTTGGATAAGTATTACGAACTGCAGTGTTTGAGTTATAATTTTATTCGTTTCTTTGAACTATTGTATTAGAAGTTCAAAATTGATAAATGTGAGTTTTCTATTGTAACTTATTTTAGAAATAAGAAAGGGTCCAATTTTTCACAATCCTACGAGTCTGTGTCGATAAAGAAAAGTTTTTGGAGATAAAATATTTTTTGCCTTAATGAATCACATGAAATCACTACACCTTACTATTATGATATCGGC